CCTGATCTGACAAAGCTGCTTTCATAGTCTAATGTTCTTCAACCAGAGGCATTCTGACATGACATTTTCCAGAGATGTACTGATCAAAACCATTGAACTCTTTTTCTGTTATAATATGAACTGATGTCACTTGAATATTCAAAAATCCTTGGGAGTCTCTGGAGGGGGAACATTCAGTCTGGTGTAGAAATGAATAAATAACCTGGATCATTTTCAGTCTGGATATTAAATTTCAGCCCTCTGTAGAATCCAAAGATAAATTTCATTGAGTCTATAGCTAACCTATTCTAAGTTTGCAACTATATACTGTATCCTCTTTCTTTGAATCAGTGGGATTTACTTCTGAATACATGCAGAGGAATATTATAGCTTGCCTTATTTCTCCTTTCAATTCTAGCTTTTTAGGGAGAAAAAACCCATTCCTTTGGTATAAAAAAAACATACCAAGGGTATGTTTCCATCAAGAATCAACACAAATTATTTATCATCTGATCACAATTCCAAATTATTTTTCATCTTCTGCAGTGAACCTTAATCATACAGATCTTTGATTGTAGTTGAATGATAGGTTGCTATATTGTCCAGCAAACTGTTAATTAGAATTCAACCTATAATAAAGTTTGATTAATTACCCACATAGATTTTCCTTATGACTTTGATAGCATTCATCAATGTTGTGCAAACTTCAGGAGAATTGAGACTACGATCAACATCAATAGTTAGAAAAGGATGGTGTAGTGATGTATAGGATAAGGCTGCATTCTGAGTGTGATTGGGAACGTCTTAGCAATGATCATTGAGCATTTATAAAAATATTGACATATATGTTGTAGAGAAAACTCTTGTGATTCTCAGTGAAGGAAAACTATAAATGAGCATATCATATACCTGAAAAGATCTGACAGTGGGCCAAGTTGTGTTCTATAACACATTATTATTATATATCCAACTTTTTGGGGGGTAACTGTGAATCAATGGAGCCATATAAGTCCTCGGAATATAGCTTGAGTTTTCCTACTTTTGTTATTATAGGCATCAGAATAGGATAGTTTCATCAATAAAATTACATTACCTTTACTCAATTCAGAAAATTACATTTTAACAACATTTCAGGATGCTATTTGGTACATTAGACACAAAATAAAATTAATGGTGGCCTTTTCAGTTTATGCAATGGACAGCCTTATGTACAGTATTTGGCTTTTAAAGCTGGGTAATGGTAGGAAGGGAAGGGGAGTTAAGAATGAGATTCTGGGAAATTAACAGTGATAGGTGTGGCACTTTATTAATACAGACATTGGTTCATCATCAACTTTTTTCATATTTGATTTTGGTCATTGAACAGCAATCTTGTAGGAGTAGCTTATACCCACTGCTCATGTGGTCTGAATTTAAAGTGCCGTTCTTTGAGTTACAGGTTACTATCCCAGCTGGCAGAAGTATGGCCTATTTAACATCCTGCAATCACCATTCTTAATAAAGCAAGCCTAGTCTAGCTGGTGGCAGCATCAAGATGAACTTTGCTCATCTTGAAAAATGAACCAGGCGACTGATTACCTGGCTACTCCTTGAATGGGAACTCACCTGAAAAACGCAGGTCTTTAGGTGACACTAGAAAGCTGAAAAACCTTAGAGTAAATGCAGTAGAAAGCTATTTCTATATAGTCCCTGAGAAAACCAAATGGGGAGAAGGATGTGAAATCACCAAAGCCCAGCTCAATTTGAAGGTTTTACCTTCACTTTAAACCAGGCATGGGCAAGTATGGTGGCACAGTGGTTACAATGCAGCAGGCTAATTCGGCCTGCAGAATTAGCCAGCAGTTCGATCCTGACTGGCTCAAGGTTGACTCAGCTTTCCATACTTCCAAGGTCAGTAATTTGTTGGGGACAAGAGGTTGACATTGTAAACCGTTTAAAGAGGGCTGTAGAGCCATATCAAGTGGTATATAAGTCTAAATGCTATTGCTATTGCTTTACAACCTGTGGACTTCTACCCTAGAATTCCTGAGCCAGCATGCCCACGCCTGCCTTAAAGCAAACCTTCATCTTCTAAATGTTTTCAGGACACACACAATCATATAAATTATGGCCTGAAAATGCCACCTCTGTTGCTTCGTGATTCTACCACTTGAAGAAAAGAATGATATAACCCAATACTCTTGAATATTTCTCTTTAGGTTGTAGTTGCAATATCGAACTAAGTGAAAGTCTCTACTGCCATTGCCATAGAGCATGGAAAGCACTAAAGGAGCAGCAAAGTGAGAAAATGCCTTGGATTATTCTATGTGTTCAGCCATGGTTTGATTAACTCTAGCTTATTGAATAAGCCATACAAAACACACTACCAATACCAAACAAACCACACTGTGACTGAATGCAATCTGCAAACCTAGTCAACCAAGCAAACCATTTATATCTTGTTTGCAGGTGATATATATATAAACTAAAAATTATTCTCTATTGAGTTTCTACTGAATGAAATGGAATCAATATTATTTTTTCATGTGGATACTGCATTCATATGTAGTCTGTGGTTATTTGGCCACTGATCAACCAGATTTACAAATTTTTCCTGAAGAGAAATTATAGAGTTTATCCACATTTCACCAGAAATACTTCCTAAAGTTACTGTTCTTACTTTCTTCCTCTCTGCCTCTTCTTTTGAAATAATTCTTTTGCAAATGCAGACAAGGCAATCAAAATGCATTGATGACACAAAGTATAGGAGAATTATGGACTGTGAATGTCGTTCATGAGCATTTTTTTTTAAATTTACATTTTAATTCATTTCTTTAGCAGATGGTAGCAAGTCATCTGCAACTATGAGTATCTCTTCAAAGGGAGGAAAGTAAACCCCTCCGTGCTAGCAGCTGACTGCCTTTGGGAAAGGAAGACTGCTCTTATTTTATATGTACATTCAAAACAAACCTCTCAATCTAATATTTATACAATTTCAGCCAGACCCATCAGTTGCTAAAAAAAGAAGAACCAGAAGAGACCAAGGGAAAAGAGAATCTAGTTTTCTACTGCTGCCTTTGATAAGTGCTCCCTCTAGTATTTTTTACAGTACTTTTAATATAAAAATTCTTCCGTGTATCCCTGTGGCATATGACACTGCATTTTATAATTCCATGGTGAGGACCTTTTTTTGCACATGTAATATATCACAGAATGGCTAGTCAGGGTTGAATCTGGTCTGATCATCTAAAGCAGGGGTGTCAAACTCAAAGCCTGGGGGCTGGATGTGGCCTGCAGGCTGCTTAGAACTGGCCTGCAGGGCCACCCTGGAAACAGCAAAGGATCAGTCAGCAGCCTTCCAAAGCTCCATTTTCACTGGCAGAGGGTTGCAGGAGGCCTTTGTTGCTGAAAACGGAGCTCAGGAGCCCATTTTCTCTGGCAAAGCGCTTGGGCCACAATAGGCATCCCTGAGACAGGTGACGTCGAGCTAGCCACACACCCCTGCCCCCCCCCAAGATCAAACACAACCCTGATGCGGCCCTCAATGAAATCAGGTTTGACACCCCTGATCTAAAGAAATCCTGTTGAGATTTACCCCTTATGAGATTTACAACGTACAGGCTAGCTTAGTGTTTTTCAGCCACAACAACTTTAAGGTGTGTAGACTTCAACTCCCAGAATTCTCCAGCCAGCATTCTCCAGTCCACACATCTTAAAGTTGCTGAGATTGAAAAAACACTAAGCTAGATGAGATCCACCTCTGTAGCAGCACCCTTTCCCTCAAAGGTGCACATTGTCCAATATTGCTAATATTCTGTAAGCTTATATTATTTCAGCAAGCCTTGACTTCTAGATATCCTGAGTGGGGCATTCATCCCTACCATTAAGTTTGGGGGTTTTATGCTTATATCCTTTTTAATTTTATGTATTGCTGTATGCTTAGAGTTCTCTAGAATTGAGGTATATCATCATAAACATTGCAAATAAACAAATAAATGCAAACAAGCGATATATTCATTACATAATTAGATTTACAAAAATTAAAAACCATTAGTGAAAAAATTTTCTGCAAAGTGAATTGTAACTCACTGTATATGCTCTTCTCTAATATCAGAAAAAGGACTCAAGAAAATCCTAGAGTAGCTTCCATAAGCAAGGAGCCTCGGGTTCAAAGCCACATTCAATGGTACATTCATTGAAGAGAGTATGAAACAATGTTAGTATTTGGCTTTTAAAGCTGGGTAATGGTAGGAAGGGAAGGGGAGTTAAGAATGAGATTCTGGGAAATTAACAGTGATATGTGTGGCACTTTATTAATACAGACATTGGTTCATCATCAACTTTTTTCATATTTGATTTTGGTCATTGAACAGCAATGAACAGTTAGATGCCTCCAATGCATGACATGATTTGTATGAGGAATTTTATTCAATAACTCAGTGACCACTAACTTGCCTAAAGTCTTTGTCATTGTTCGTTGAAACCCAATGAATTACTAATTAAAGCATCTGCTCATTAAAGTTCACATGCATCTGTCCATAATCTTCATTCTCTGAAGTTGCACTAGTCATGATGGTGGACCTCTTAAGCAAATAAGCTAGAGCAGGTGGTCTGCAGAAGATGCCAACTGCTTCTGGGTGTTCTGAGATGTTCCTTCTCCACAGTAGAGAAATTTCATTTTGCCTAATCACTACCAGGCAAGTAACCCCTTAGAACTGAGAACCCTCAGTAGTTGTTGATCTGCACATCCTTAAGTTTGGATGTTATTTGTTTTGTACACTATGGTATATGGGCTAGAGGGATCTGTACTACTTCCAGTTCCCATCAGTCTCAAATCTCTCTCTCTCCCTCTCCCTCCCTCCCTCTCCCCCTCCCCCTCCCTCTCTCTTTCTCTTTCTCTTTTTCTCTCTCCCAAGTTGACTAAGAAGAGTAGAATATGTAGACTTACTTCAGGTAGAGAGATAGATATACAGACATGGAGTAATATTATTTTGACAAGTTTATTTTCTTATAAAATAAATGTATTTTTATTTTCTTCCCAGTGAAAATTGCGAATACTTGGCATTTCCAAAAAAGAACATTATGGATAAAAAGCAGCAACTAGTAAAAAAGGAGTTTGGGAAGAGATTCTCTCTGGATAGCAGACTCATGGTGAGCATAAAAACATTTCTGTGCTTCTAGATTTGTCTGTGTGTATGCCTGTGTGTGCTGATGGTCCAGCTTTTTCAAAATTTACATAGCATTAATAAATTCAATGCATATTGACATCTTAAGTACCATACTGATTTTAGGGAATCTAATCCTAAACTCAGCAATGCCCTTGGTGCCTCTGAAGCCCTTAAATGCTATTCGCCATAGCAAAAAAAAAACAAATTAAAACAGTTGATAGATGAGATATCAGAAGATCACTTAATCTCATGAGATCTCAGGTTTTCCCGGTAAGCCATACTAAGACTGTTAAACCCATGCTAAGACGTTGAGATTTCACAACATCTCAGTGAATTAGCTAATTGTTTAGTTCGTTTTGTTTTTATGTATTGTGCAAAGTTCCTAGATAGCATCTCCCACTTGAAAAGTGGCTCATTCCCAGTTCATGACTGTGATCCATCCCACTGTGCAAACAAATGGCAAGAGATGTTTGGTGATCTACATTTTAAGTAGATATGAATGCCCTAGCAAGCAATCCAGCTGTGAATCGTGCTAAACACGATGCTCCAAAATATCAGAATTTCAACACACTCCAATATCAGAATTTCAAAACATTGAATCATGTTTTGCTCAATGACATTGCATCAACCTGCAATAAAGAATTGTGCCTTTTTTATTCCTAAAGAAAGATATGGATAATCTTTGCTGTTGGCTGCCTTTTGCTGGCAAACCTGGGCTGGTTTTTTTTTTCCCCTGGGAGAATCACTCTGTATAGGTCAGTAATGATTTTGATAGTGGAGGGCAAAGGTGAAATCTAAAATCTTATTTAGTGATTTCAGTGGTCTGCTTCACACATGATATGTGAACCTGTAAAGCTTGCTGCTTGCTGATTTCTATTGCATATCTGCTTAACAACAATTCTATTTGTGGTGCTCTCTGTGTTAGCGTTGATGATGTTACCTAGTTGGGTAATGAGACTTCTGCGAGAAAACAACCAAACGTAGAAGGCACACCTGGGACCCCACAGTTCAACCTTGAGATACAAATATTCTCTGTTATTAATTCTCTTTGTGTTTGGTGACTACATGGGGGTTAGTCTGACTGGTCTTTGGTGCTATGTCAGTACTGTAGTTCTGCTGAATGCCAAAACTCCCTCACTCATTATCTAAATGAAATATATTTAAGCTATGCCTCATCCTGCAAGCATATACATGTTTCTACATTGCTGCTTAAAAGGAACATCCATTTGCACATAATCATTGTCAAACTCTGAAGCAAACAGAAAAAATGTCCCTTTGAGTTGTCAGCACATCCAATCTCAAGGGGTTTCCCCCCCCCAAAAAAATATCACAATATTTGGGGGGTGGGAGTGGGAGAGCCCTATGAGACTCACCCAGGGCTTTGAGACACATTTTTAAATTAATGGGTTCCTTAACAGACTGGAGGAAAAATATGTGCAAAATTCCTTTTAAGTCATGTCATGTGGGTGTTCTTTGGAAGAGCATTCAAGGTGGAGCTGGATGTTATCTGAATGCTCCTGAGAATTGCAGCGCATTTTGACATTTTTCTCACTTGATGTAATGCCTGGAATATGGATTAACACTGTCGAATGCATTGTCAGCAGATCAAGCTTCAGCCAAGTTAGTGGGATGCACCTGAATCTAAAGAAAGAGGAGTAAGGCAATAAGGCAACTTCAAAATCCCCAGCAACCCCAGACAGTTTCATTCGTATTTGGAGAACTGCAGCCCAGTTCTGCTTGGACTGGGAATTGGTTGGCTTCCAAAAAGCAATAGTAGAGTCTTCTCCTTTAAAAATAAAAATAAATCAGCCTCTCAGGATCAATGATAACTGGCACGTGGAGTGAATCTTCAAAGCACAGAGGTGGGAAGGTCATGTGAATTTTTTTGCTGGTGTTGAAATCAGATGGTCCTCCACAGTAGGGAAAGGAGAGGTGACAATCGAAGGTGTTTCCATTCTGCATCCGTAATAGAGCAGTTCTTGCAGGAGAGATGATGAAAGGATGAACTTTCTGCCTTTCTACCTCAGTCAACACAATGTACCCACACCCACCCACACACACACACACACACAAACATTTTTTTTCCCGAGACCAAGATTGATTTTGGTCCCAGAGAAAAAAAGTTGGTCAGCACCAGCATTGTAAGTAGTTGCAGCTTTGATTTAAAGGAAGATCTGTGGAATTAACAGCAGCAACAACATCATAGGAGAGTGGATAGGGATTGTTTTTCTCCACCCCCTCCTCGGGGCTTCTTCCTACTGACATATTTTAATAAGTGGATACATGCTTTCAAAAGCAGAGAAATTCAGAGCAGAAAAGTTAAGAACACAACAAGATGGCATGCTGATTTTGTTGGGTGCACGAAGGATGGTTGCTCAGTCAGCTTTCTACCTAGCGTTGGCTATCTATGTATATGTGTATTGTAGAATTTGAGAGAAATGTGTATAGTCACATTAATATTATAATAATATTATTAATATTATTAAGACATTGTTTATATGTTCCAATAGCAATAGCACTTAGACTTATATACCACTTTATAGTGCTTTACAGCCCTCTCAAAGCGATTTACAGAGGTCAGCCTATTGCCCCCAACAATTTGGGTCCTCATTTTACCCGCCTTGGAAGGATGGAAGGCTGAGTCAACCTTGAGCCCGGTGGGATTTGTACTGCCAAAATTGTAGGCAGCTGGCTGCAGAAGTAGCTTGCAGTACTGCAGTCTAACCACTGCGCCACAGAGGCTCCTGACTTCCTGAGACTCTTCCGACTTACAGCATGAAAATAAATAAACAACAGAACAGTAAAAACAAAATGAAAGAAAGTGTACTTCTCAAGTCCCAACTGATGGAATTGTTTAATGAGAAAGATTAATAGACCTGATGTGCTTTTCCTCTGCCTAATCATAGAGAGGACAGGTGTTTCATCAATAGTCAGATCCCACGACATGAAAGGCTTCATAGGATGTAACCAGCATCTTTAATTGTAACCAGAAGTGAACTGGCAATACATCTTCGAGAACAATGGTGTCATGTGGGCATATTTAGGCATGGCAGCCCATTACTGTACTATCTACACTGCCACATTCAATAGCTTCCAACTGTTCTTCAAGGTCAGGCTTATAGAGACCACATTGTAATAGTCCTCTCTAAAGATAACCAAGCACACATGACTAACTAGAGGGTCTCTTAGTCCAATAGTAGGCACAAGTGGTGCACTAGATGCACTGTTACTAGGGCTTGGCATGCCCTAGAAAGTCCAGAATGCAACTCTATGCCCTTGCTCCAGAGTGATGCCCTCCTGGATGCTGGTGGGAATTGGGGAATCTAGGAGGTCCCAGCAGGGGATAATCAAATGACTGACAAAAAAACCCTACCAAGCTCACAGAGCATCAAGGACCTCATGACACTAGATGAATCTGTGTAAAGGTCTTCTTGGCCACTACTGCCAATTGCATTTCAGTAGAACCTCAAAACTCTCTTAGATGGTGCATTGATTTTCAATGGGGAAATGCTATCCCATCCAAGACTACAGACACTGTAGAAAGTTCCCAGAGTTGAAAAGAGCCATTTACTCTTATCAGGATTGATTTGAGTCTATTCAACCCCACCCGATCTCTGATAGCTTTCAGATTCTGGGATAAGGTATTAATAGCATGCTTTGTGCAGTTGAGAATCAGGATATGTGACTGAATATCATCAGAATACTGGGACCTGAACTGATAGATGACCTCCACCACTGGTTTCATGTAGATTATAAATGGAAGGGGTAAGACCACCAAGCTCTGCACAACTTAGGCACTGCACAATTGAAGGGTTGCAGGCTCAGCCTCTTTCTCCCTGTGAACACCAACTGGAACCAACCACAGAATCATTGTTACATGAATTCTTCCACTCTCAATCACCAAAATCATTGGTCAGAAAAACGCTATGATCAAAAGCTGCCAAGAGACCAAGGAGAATCAAGATAGATTCACAACTCCATCTTAATTCCACGAAAGGCCATTCACAAGACAAATCAGTGCTAGCTCCATATTGTGCCCTGGTCTGAAACCTGACTGAAAGTTCTAGATAATCCATTTCCTCCAGGATTATCTGCAGTTCAATCACGTTCTCAACCATCTTCTCTTAAAAAAAGGATATTTAGAGACTGGACAAATTTTTTTTCTATTATTTCCCTCTTTCTCTCTCTTTCACCTCCCTCCCCCCATACAGACAATTTATACTACTCTTGCAGACATAAATTTTTCCACACCCCATCCACATTCTATCTCTTCTCCTCCTCCTCGCTTTCCTATTATACATTTTGTTTAAATACAAGTTACCCTCATTGTGTGTTTAACACAATTGCATCTAGAATACAGTATTTGAAAACAAATTTTTCTAGCTGAGAAGAACAGGTGGCAGCTGACTCCTCTGCTTGTGTTATCTGTGTTGTGATACTTCAGTGAATTGCAGTATTCCAGGATAAAAGAAACCCCTGACACATTTTTATATCCCTATTGGAATTTGGTAAGTGGGAAAAAATGTCTCCAGCATGCCATTGCAGGCATATTCAACTTTTTCTGCTCTCAACCTGAACAGTGTGTGTTTTTGTCCTTGAATAGAACATATTAATGTAAAACCATGCTGAATCCATCCATTATTTTTTTCCTAGTGGTTATTAGTCTTGAGATCCAGCATGGGTGGGACCATTGTAACCTCTGTCACTGTCCTCAGGGATTTAAGTCAAATATAATGGAAGCTGTGGGTCAACTTATTTTCGGAACCATTCTCACATCTCTCCTGCATTTATAAAGGCATTCTGTTCAATGTGTCTGATATGAGGCATTCATTGAAATTAGCAGGAGGCTAACAAAGTGCATTTCTAGTTCTAAAGTTGTAGTAAAAAGCATGACTTCATAAAGTCTGGCTCCACGTATTATTTTAGAAAAAGGCTCTCGCTCCCCAACAGAATGCCGTTTTAAAAATAGCCTCCATATGTGTA